CTATTTCACTAGGAGGGTGGTGAAACACTGGAATGTGTTACCTAGGGAGGTGGTGGAGTCTCCTTCCTTGGAGGTTTTTAAGGCCCGGCTTGACAAAGCCCTGGCTGGGATGATTTAGTTGGGAATTGGTCCTGCTTTGAGCAGGGGGTTGGACTAGATGACCTCTTGAGGTCCCTTCCAACCCTGATATTCTATGATTCTATGATTCATTAGAACAAAATTGCCTGTGAGGAAGGCAAGTTCAGGAATTAAAAGTGGTTGTTTAAAATGTCTATTCTCATGTGGTGCAGACTCTTTCACCTGTGTCGTGATCAACAGCACTGCCTCCTGTGGGGCGGGTGAACTAGCCTGGGCAAATACAGGATCCCCCTACTTTCTGCCCCAAACTCAAACCTTTCAGAATTTGAAACAGTTCAGTTAGCCTTTGTTTCTCTCCTTATTTTTATTTTTGCTCTGCCGGGTCCTGACACAGCCAGCAGTCAATAGCTGCAAGAACCAAGTCCGCTTCAAAGTTAAGGGTTTCATTTTGCAACATGCCAGATATTTGTTAAAGTGGCAGCAGCACGTTGAGAAGGGAGACAAGAGTACTTCCCAGGGCCACACCTGCCCTTGCGTCCCCTTGCCAAAGTCTGTGGTTTTACAGTCACATCTTAAAAAAAAAATGTTTGTGTATTTGGATTGTAAATTCTCTAGGGCAATCACTGTGCACGTGTACAATGCTTAGTACAATTGGGGCCCTGATCTTGGTCAGGGCTTTTAGGTGCTATTGTAATACAATCAATGAATGAATAAAGAATGGCTTTGAAAACAGAGTTCCTTTGGGTATTGCGGTTTCAGCATCATTCTCTGCCAAGTTACATCTGATAGTGGAGAGGAATAAATACTCATCTGTTATGGGCCAGATTTTCAGCTGCTGAACACCCATCATTGGGAACAAATTTTTCAGAGAGGATCAGCTTTCATTTAGGCACCTAAACAGGGCCAGATTTTTTGTAGTGCTCGGCAGCCAACCTACTCTTTGGAAAAATCTGGCTGCCTGTTAAATGGGAAACTAAGCACTTTTAAAAATCTGGGCCTTATTAGTTAAGTGTTGGCAGAGGATTGAGCCCCATACAAGACACACACTACACAATAGTCCTTGCCCTGGAGAGCTGGCAATCGATCAGAAACAGCAAACAAGAGGCACTGGGAATCAGAGAAGGGAATGGTTAGGGTTATTACTGCTTTTAATGGTTGTTAGTATTCTGATAATGCAATCAAAATCAAAAGAAGAAGAAAAAAGTCATAGATGATCCGTGAGTTATTACTAGGAAATGCTAAGGTTCTTGATTGTGAATGAGCGATTAATTACATTCTACAAACAGAAGTTTTATCTGCATTGAAAAGCAAAAAAAGCTGGTTTTTATTCCAGCCCATTGTATGCCAGTAGACAGTGTTATGATAGATGTACGCATTTAGTCTTCTTGTCACTGTGGTTTAATCATCAGAAAACCTCTTCTTTTCGAATCCAAGGTATACTGAGAATTCTTAGTATTTACACACAAGCCGGGGCTTACTTCTTTGTTGATATATTCTGTATTCACTTGCCAGGCTATCAATAAGCATTGGCTGGTATTAAATAAATTCTTTTAAAAACCTATTAAACATAAAACAATCCCCAAAAAGAGAGTGCTATACAAACATCTATCCAGCTTGAGAGACAGCACTCTCCTAACCAGCAGCTCTCAAAATGGTCTTCTGCACAGATTTTTCTCTAGACTAATTAAAAACAGGTGCTTGACAGAACATTAGTTGCAACCAATGTATCATCACCAACTTCTGTTTGTTCACAGACATTTATACAAGAACTGTTATAATTAATCCACAGACTGACACGGAACTGGCCCTGCTGATACTGGACTAAAACATGACAATAGTGGAAAGTGCATATCCAGCAAACTGAAGGGATACAAGCGACAAGGTGGGTGGATGTCACTGCTTGACAGACATTCTAGGAGAAGGAGGCTTTTTGCTTAGTTGTGCCATTTGCATGCACAGTTGTTTCGAAATGCATTTTTGGCCTTGATAATTTGAGAATATTTAAAGTCCTACAGCAATGAACAGTACAATCATTGTTGGTGCCTTTCTGATAATGCTGATTGCACTGGTTGTAGCTACATGCTACATAGCAGGGATGAAAGACGCTGCTGCTCCTGTCTGCAGCTCAGCCAGCCATGCTTCAATGGTGGAAACTACCCGAGGTCATACCTCCCTTTCCAGATGGACTGAGCTGAACCACCGTTAAACCGAGAGATGTAAAGCTACTGGGTACATTTTCACTGACCTGGGGTTCTGAAGACCCCTTCTTTAGCAGCAGTTTAGCTCTCACACGTGCAACTATCCTCTCAGGTTCCCCCTCATTAGCCCACCAGCAAGACTAGGAGAACTTCCGTCCTTCTGGGATAACAGATGTCCAAATGATAGTCCAAGCCTTTCCCCAGGCACCCCCATTGTCAGCATATGAGAGCCCTACACATCCAAGCGCCAACCTTGGCAACTGAGATAAAGAACAGGCAGCCGCCCAGGGGACATCTATGCTGCACAAAACCCCCAAACCTAGCAGCAGTGAGTCTCCGAGCCCAGGGCAACAGACTCAAGCTCATGGGGCTCGCATGACAGGGTTCAAAAAGCGGCATAGACATTCCCGCTTGGGCTGAAGCCCAG